TGGTAACAATATTCATTGTAATATTTTTGTCCATTTTAAGTACACTAACCTTACTCTTTTGTAACAAAAAAGGTTAAAAATATATTGTTATTTGTTATTTTCTAATATAGATGATTCAGAAAATATTTTCAGGACCCCATCTTGATGTTTTGGGACCCCATTGTGGGTCCCGACCCCAACTTTGGGAACCACTGACCTAATGGATCTGCAGTCAAAGCATACCTGTAATTAGTATAACAATTGAAATATAATACAACTACTGGGAAAAAGATCTAATTTATATTTGAAACAATTGTTTTACATCTATACACTTCTCACATTGTCAGTAAATTTTAATTACTCAGGTGTAATTACCTGTAAACCTTATGAAGACATCTGCTGCAGACCTGTGTGAAAAGCTTAGATCTTTTTTCTCCTGGAGCAGCAAAGGAGGTAACAAACTGGCCAAGTCTAATGTTCCCTGCTTTAGTGCTGTGCTTCTCCACAGCTGTGAGTGTGGAAATGCTGGCCTTATTGTGAGCCCCTCTGTATTGTTTTAACTGTTTAGAAAATGCTGAATGGTAGTGGAAAGTGTTTGTGCTGCACTGCCCGTTTGCCCTGGGTCGGGTGAGGACACAAATCAACCTTTAAATGAGAGACACACATATGAACACATACTTGTGTGGAGAAAAATTAATCCTGCTAGAAATACAATAAAAAGTGAATCAGTGAAGAGAAGCTAATGCAAAACCTTTATTTTGTGCTTACAGTTCTCCTTTCATACATAATGCAGACATTTTAACTTCTTTTATGGCCCAGCCATAAATTTACATCACACACCTGAACATCAAAATCTATTTTTTAGGTGAAATCTTTTGCTTTTTATCCTCAAAATGCACTAAATGTTGAGGAAGCTACAGTATAAGCACCTAATAATACTGCATACCAGTGTGACAATTCGCACTAACTTTCACACACTCACAACTAACATGGTCAGATGACACAAACTGAATCAGGCAAAAAGAGGGCGTTGCTAGCAACGTACACTACACTGTAACTGTTACACCACTCAAATAAATTAAACCTAGTTTTAAGTCATAATACTAATAAAATGGTGCCTGTTCACATGGAGCTCCTGTTCTCCTTCATTGGTGTTAACACAAACATCCTAACTCAGTAATCATCTTCTTCCTCATAGTCCTCAGGCACTAACTCAAGCTCGTCATTTTCCCCTTCTTCCTCATCCTCCTCCTCCTCCTCTTCCTCTTCGTCGTCATCGTCTTCTTCCATGTCATAGTCTACAGCAGAGTTTAACAGGAGTTTGGTTCGATTGATCTCGCTCTCATCGTCGAGATTAATGTTAACCTGGAAGAATTGCACATAAATACGCATAAGTAAATAAATAAGAAATAAATATAAAGGCCCTGTCACACTAGACAACTTATGAAAAACATTCTTTATGTCTATACTGCTAATAAAAGATATATTTGATCAATTTGTTTGCATTCTAAAAAAAATGAAGTGTTGAATTTACTGAACAAAGTTAACTGTTTCCACTAAACCAAGTCTTTACCCAACTTGGTTTAGTGGAACCAGTTGACATAATTTGGTTGCGTAAATTCAATGCTTCATTTTTAAAGTGTGAGTAGAAGTACTTTTACTTTCCCAATTTTTGAGACCAATTTTATAACTTTTATTTGAGCACTTTTTGTATCAGTGAAATTCATTTTTACCTGTCACTTTCTGCCAAGATATATTAACTTTTGTTTTTCCTGGTACTTTATACACCTCTGGTCAGATAACAGCTGACCAACATTTAAAAACTTATTCTTAATTTTTTTATTCCATCTGGTAGATTTTTAATGAATACAAATCTTTCACTTCACTCGGGAACATTACTCAGAAAGGAACATCATTACTTGGCAAAGTCTCGTAAAAGTTGAAATAAATTCAAAAGGGACAAAATATTCTTAGAATACAGACAAATTATTTTGTGGATATTTTCATGTACAGCGGGTAAAATAAGCATTGAACACGTCACCATTTTTCTCAGTAAATATATTACTAGAGGTGCTAATGACATGAAATTTTCACCAGATGTTGGTAACAACCCAAGTGATCCATACATACAAAGAAATCAAACCATAAATGTCCAGAAATTAAGTTATTTGTAATAATGTGGAATGGCACAGGGAAAAAGTATTGAACACACTTACTGAAATTTATCTAATACTTTGTACAAAAGCCTTTGTTGTTAATGACAGCTTCAAGACGCCTCCTGTATGGAGAAACTAGTGGCATGCATTGCTCAGGTGTGATTTTGGCCCATTCTTCCACACAAACAGTCTTCAAATCTTGAAGGTTTCGTGGACCTCTTCTATGAACTCTGATCTTTAGTTCTTTGCATAGATTTTCTGTTGGATTCAGGTCAGGTGATTGGCTGGGCCATTCCAGCAGCTTTAGTTTCTTTCTCTGAAACCAACTGAGAGTTTCCTTGACTTTGTGTTTGGGCTCATTGTCTTGCTGAAATGTCCAGCCAYGTTTCATCTTCATCATCCTGGTAGATGGAAGCAGATTTTTATCAAGAATGTCTCTGTACATTTTTCCACTCATCCTTCCTTCAATTATTTGAAGTTTRCCRGTACCATATGCTGAAAAACAGCCCCACACCATGATGTTCCCACCTCCAAACTTCACTGTTGGTATGGTGTTTTTGGGCTGATGTGCAGTGCCATTTGACCTCCAAACATGATGTGTATTCTGGCATCCAAACAGTTCAATGTTGGTCTCATCTGACCAGACTATATTCTCCCAGTTTTACACAGGCTTGTTTAAATGTTGTGCAGCAAACTTTAAAGGAGCTTCAACATGCTGTTTCYTCAGCAGTGGAGTCTTGCGTGGTGAGCGTGCATACAGGCCATGGTGGTTCAGTGCATTACTTATTGTTTTCTTTGAAACAATCGTACCTGCTAATTCCAGGTCTTTCTGAAGCTCTCCACRAGTGGTCCTTGGCTCTTGGACAACTCTTCTGATAATTCTTTTCACTCCTCTGTCAGAAATCTTGTGAGGAGCACCTGGTCGTGGTCGGTTTATGGTGAAATGATGTTCTTTCCACTTCTGAATTATGGCCCCAACAGTGCTCACTGGAACCTTCAGAAGTTTAGACATTCTTCTGTAACCGATGCCATCATTATGCTTTGCAACAATAAGGTTATGAAGGTCTTGAGAGAGCTCTTTACTTTTACCCATCATCAGATGGTTCTTGTGTGATACCTGGCCATCATTTGGGACTGAACCAGCTGATATTAACTTGCACTGACAAGGGGCAGGCTTGCTTTCTAATTACTGAGAGAGTTCAGCTGGTGTCTTGGCTTTCCATGCCTTTTTACACCTCCCTTTCTTCATGTGTTTAATACTTTTTCCCTGTGCCATTCCACATTATTACAAATAACTTCATTTCTGGACATTTATGGTTTGATTTCTTTGTATGTATGGATCACTTGGGTTGTTACCAACATCTGGTGAAAATTTCATGTCATTAGCACCTCTAGTAATATATTTACTGAGAAAAATGGTGACGTGTTCAATACTTATTTTACCCACTGTAAGTAACGTCTATCTTTTTCACAGAAAATGTGCYACAAATTATAACATTCGTGTTGATATTGTTTCAGGAAATTAACGTCTGCTCCACCAATATTTATGCTCATGAGCCGCTCCTGCCTGTAACTTCACAATGACAGAGATCTGAAGAAGTTGCAGGGTTGTGCAATGATGTCCACTCATACAAGGGATTTTTACCTCACTTTCAGAGGACAATCGTTGGGAGGCTCCTTCTTCTGTTTGAGCACTGATGATAGACTTCAGTGCCCCCTCTTCAAACTGGAAAACAGTGGGGGAAAAAAACTATTTATTACACAGAAATTTATACAAAACATGTTTATACTGTGATCGTAAAGTCACCTTCAAGCGGTTGAGTTGGTCTTGTAACATCACTTTGATTTTGAGGAGAGTCTCCTCTTCCTTTTTCAGCTCCTGTAAACGGCTGTGCATGTTTCCTGTTACAGTCAGACCATTCCTAAAAACTTAAAAACAGAAAAAAACACAGTCATGGTTTTGAGTTTTATACATGTAGGATATGTGTTACGATGAAATATCTCCATCCTAGTGTAGGGATTTTTGACATATTGTCAGCAGCGGCTGCCATTTTCTTCCTCAAACTGCTGTGACCGGATTGTGCAACGCTGCACTGCGTGTTCCCTTGTTATTTGCTCCTGCTTCATTACTTCTACTAATTTAAACGAACCGCGCTTGACGCCAGGTAGTTAGCTGCAGACTTGAAGGTAGAATTAAATTCAATCACTGGCGTTTTTCCAGTGACCCCTTCAATAGGTAAGTTTACATGAAGAACATTATTTTATCTGCCTTTGTTCCAAATTTGATCTGATGATCTTCTGATGTTCTTTGTTTACAGAACAAATGCCCTCCTGATTTTTTTTTTAATAATTGTGGCTTTCCAAGACACATCAAGTTGATTAGATGTTGCAGTTTGTTGACATGAGCCTTTTAAAATTATTTTATTCCTTTTCTGCTGCTTTGGCTTTAGTAGTGTATTTATTGTTTTCAGGATACAAGATGCTTCCTACAAAAATCTGAATCTTTTCCTAAAATTTCATGCCAATATCTTGAACACTAAGGAAGTTATGAGAAAAACTGATAACAACAAAGCAAACTGGTCACAAAGGCCATATCGGTTCAGCTATGAACTGCGGCAGAAATCATAAGCTTGATTACACTTAAACATCCATAACTTTCTTATTACTTGTGATAATCATATGATTTTAGTGTTATTTTGTAAGTGTTATTTGGATAAAAAATTCATCCACATCCTTACCTACATGTTACAAATTCAGCCTCTTCAACATTTAAACTAATTTACAAAACAGTGTTAGTACTGATGTTACAGTGTTGGTATTGATGTGATTTGTTTATTACAGCAATAACATAACACTTTACCAGTATAAAGGCAAATATATTCCTGTTTTTTGACTAGCAACTAGAAAAACTGTTTCGTTTTTGTGATAACGGTGACTAAAGAATAATAAATTTCCCATATCTGCCCCAGAATTCAGTTTAAGAGCCTTACCGCTTTATTTAATCTGCCTAAAGCTTCATAGCAGCATAGAAGGTGATGATACGTTGGTTATATGTCAAAATGCTCAGAGCTGCTGATCTTTTGTGCTACAAACACAGGCCACTAGCTAAAGTTTGGTTCCTGTATTGTGTGGTCACATCCGGGTGCATGGTGCGTTTAAATGCTAGCAAAAAATGTAGTTTTTTTTCCGGGGTTGGCCAGTCTTTGGATTGAATAATTTGTAAAATATACGTATAAGCCACAGGTTAGCTAGCCACGAAGTTTTAATAATTAAGGTCTACAGAAACTATAATCTATTTAATATTTTTGTTTGCTAAAGAAACTTAAATTACTTAAATTTTATATATTTTACAAACATTTTATGTAAAACATCCAATTAGAGTGAAAAGGTGTGTGAGTATGAATCTGTTTCACAGTTTCGATACAATTAAGTCAATCTAACAAGCATGCTTTGTTGACGTTTCCAGGTTTAATTTTCAAAAATACGACATTAATGTCAGCACTGAAAGGCAACATTCATTATGGAAGATTGTGGAATATGGCGGCATCTTGTGGTGACTACAGGTATCGTTTTCTTATTGTCTGACGGTAAGCAAGTCTATAAAGTTGTAAGCAATGGTTGTAATGTGGAAAAATGTAAACCTGACTTAAAGAAGTAGACTGAACCATATTTGCTAAGAAGGTCACGGAGTAAACTTTGAACGAATGTCTGACCGGCCTCATCTGCAGAGAAGTGGCAGTCAACTTTACGGTGGCGGAAAGCTAAATTAGTAGCACATGTAGTTAATGGTTTGGTCTCAATTAAACACTGGGCCACAATACTATCTTACAACTGTATACAGCAGTGTAAACTTGCTCAGCATGACTCATAATATAGCTTGATATTATTACTGGAGAAGACAAATTAAAGGCTTTTCCTTGTTATTGTATATCTGCAAGAATTGTTCTAGCATTTTCCTGCGTATAAGGTAGGCCTGAGTTTGATCTGCCCCTCTAGTAAATATTTAGCCTTGTTGCACTTCATTTGCAGAGCATTATTAATCCCACGAAACCCCTCAAACTGAATAACAACAAAGAAAAGAAAAGTAGATAACAGGTTTGCTGAGAACTGAAACAAGTCTCATACGAAACCTGTTTATATGAACAAGATCTGACACAGCTTTTAATCAGTCTTCAAAAAAATGTTTGAGGAGCTCATTAGCTTCTTTATAGGACTTCACTAAGTCCATCCAGATGTTGATAATCACACAGCATGCAGGCAGGACTGGAGACAAGCTATAGGAGGTAGAAAACCGTCTCTGCTTATGAGAAGAGGAATGCTGTCAGCTGTGGAGTCATTGCATTTCCTAGTTTTTCCACGGTTTTTATATAGTTGGTGGTTTTGCATTCTTTAGATTCTTGGTGCAGGGATGAGGTTGATGAATGGGGAACAAAGGGTTGGAGGACACCTACATAGCCACAGAAAACATTAATAGCATTGTGCAAAAGTCTTGAGTACTTCATGTATGTTTTAATATTTTGCTTACAAAAAACAGACTTTTTATCATTTAAAACAATCTTGAGCAATTTCTTCCAGTTTTTGCTGTATTCTTTGAGTATTGATATGGATATTGACAGCTTTTCCACTTGTTTTGATTATTTTGATTGCATGTTTTTTGTTCTTTGTTGTGCGTATAATTGTTACAAATGAAACGAATAGMTTTCTAAATAAAATCAAATAAAATGTGATGACATTTTCAGAAGAAAAAACAGCAACTTTGCTAACAACCAATAGAAATATAAGGGCTGTGTCTCACTTTGTTACTAGCAGCCTCACAAAAAGACAATTTGTCATCATTTATTTAATTGAACTTGAGAGAAAGACCAGAAAAAACACAGTTTGACACATCAAATCTTACAGAAGAGGATCAACTGAAGAATGATACTCAAATCTTTGTTAGATTTGTGTCTATTTCCTGAAGAGATGATTTTTAGATAGTGTTCATCAGCTGAAAGTTTATTTATTTATTTATTTATTTATTTATTTATTTATTTATTTATTTATTTA